AGGCCACCCCCGGCCACGTGGGTGATGCAGATTTTCAAGTGCGACACGTTGCTCAGCGAGGAGGGCCCTTTGTTCCAGAGGTCTTGAGATGCAGAGCCAGGGTAGGAGAAAACATTTTCCATCTGATGGAAGGGAGGCCTCGGCTTGAAGCCTCTGTGGCCGAACGTCACTTTGCTTTGATTTTTTAAGACAGCTTTGCCCACCAGCGTGAAAGTGTCTTTGTCCGACACAAGCTGACCGGCCAGACCTGAGAACTGACCCTCAGAGCTCTGCCAAGAGGTTTTATTGCACGAGGTAGAGGTGTAAACTTCGAGCCCGGAGAAGGTTTGGTATCCCCCGGATGAGACATCGATATTAATCCTGCAGATCTCAACGTTGAAAGGAAAAGAGATTGTGACGTGGACTGGAGGTTTGATGAAGTATTCGCTGCGGAAACCCCGGTTTCTCCTGGCAAGGTCTTCGGAGATCAGATTCTCCACTTCATACCCGTCAGCAGAAATCTGTGAGTTCAGGAGGAAACCAGATTTAAATAGGAAGCAAGAAAATCAAAAGACACAAGAAACTCATGCAGAAATCCTGGGGCCTAAACCACAAAAAACAAGCAAGGAATATCTATTTATTCCAATCTGCTCCATACGGTTACTCCACACCCTCCTGATCCCAACGATCACACCAAACCTCAGCGGCACGGCTGGGAGGCTCAACTCACCACCCGGATGGGCCGTCCCGGTTTTTTCCAGCACAATACTTGGGAATCCAAGGATGTGTCAGATTTTGGGGTGGGGAGACTTACAAGTGAAAAAGGGGGATGGATTAAAAACGATTCTAAGAGATTCTGGGGATGCTGAGCGAAAACACAAGTACTTGTAATGTCAGCAAAGGCTGCCAAGAGCGGTGTGTTCTACCGGACGACGAGAAAGCTCTGACGCTGCAGGAAAAAAGGAATCTCAAGTGAAAGCACACACACCCATAAGGACGTAACATTATCTTGTTGTGAGATCCTGCAAAATTTGGGCTTTTTCCCTCCAACAATCAGCGTGTGCCACACCAGAGCAGTAACAGGGGGTTACGCAGCGTTCTAACGCTCCCTGGCAGAGACTGACCAAAGCACAGACAGGACAACCCAAATTTTGAAGAGGAACTTCTGGCAAACCCTCTCTCCACCGATTTTTCCAAGTCCTGAGCCTTCAGCTCCTCTTTATCTTCACGTGAGCTGCAGATTCTGAGCATTCAGACACGAGTTCTCTCAGTGCTTGCAGATCAACTTCCATCCCTGGGAGTTTTTCAGGCCAGGCTGGATGGGGCTCTGGGCAGTCTGATCTAGTGGGGGATGTCCCTGCCCATGGCAGGGGGGTTGGAACGAGATGAGCTTTAAGGTCCCTTCCAACCCTGACAATTCTATGATTCTATGACCACTGACCCTTTCAAGACCAAAGCACTGAAGGGGAAGGGGATGCAGGTGTCCAGATTCCAAACACCAGTTCACAAAAACCTCCTCGCTGGGAATGACAAGAGACTGATCCCCAAACTCCCCCCTCCCACTGTCATTTTACCTTGTTGCAGTGAATCCTTGGCTTGAACTGCGGCAGACAGACGTTTATTACCATCTTGGCAGCTGGAGAGAGCTCACTTTCTGAGCACGAGATTCATCTTGTGAAAGGAAAAAAAGCAAAATAAAGAAAGTGAACATCAGCGAAAGGATCTCGCGTTTCAGCGCCAACTGACAAGCTCACTAGTTCCTAAAATGCAGCTCAGCTCCGAGTCCTGCGGGTGAAGGCAACAGAAAACCAAATGATTGTGGTGGTGAGACAAGACTGAGGGGAAAAAGTTACGTTACCATTTATCAGTGACCCCCTGGAGAAACGCTGCAGAGCAAATGGTCGTTTTAACCGAAAACATCTTACCTATGGCCAGCCCAGCAATTAGACCTGAAAGTTTCTCCGGGAGGCAGGAGGTTCTGCAGATGCAGTCCAAGCAGCAAACGCTGCAGGAGGTTGGCAAAGGAATCGGGGCGAGCTCTCAGCAGCCTCAGTCGGACTTGGAGGACACGAGCTGTTCCGCCACCTGAGGCCTGGAGCTGCCGGTTTTGTCTCCGTGCTCGTTTCCCAGCCCCGTGCCACGGCCATCTGCTGCCCTCAGCAGTTTGAGGCAGGACCTGCCAACGCTCTTGGACAACACCCAACGCGACAAGCTCACATGGGGCCTCTCGGGCCGAGGGGAAGAGCAGCCAGCGCTAACACAGCACTGCCGTGAAGGGAAATGTTTCTGGAGGGTTTTGGAATCTCAGATGTAAGCTAAGATTAAACACAAGTATTAATAACAGGTATTTACGAGCTCCGAGGGAGCAGAAGGCATTTAACAGCTCCGAGGGAGGTTATTCTATGTTCTGAACACTGACCCAGCTGATTCTTCTGACAATGTTCATTAAAGAAACTCAAGTGAAAGCACCTTCTTTTCCATTGAAAAAAAACATGACTTGAATTGGTTAGATCAGATCCCTTTTAAGAATGAAATTATCTACGAGGTAAGAGTTTTTAACCTTAGGTTAACCTTAGCTTTAATAGATCATTGCCTTGGGCAACCTTGCAAATGAGGAACCCGTTGCTTTCTTTGAAAAAAAGAGCAGCCCTTTAATGATTTGCAACTGGAGCCATTAGTTTAGCCAAAACAAAACCGGCCTTCTGGGGGCACGGCAGCGCGTTTCCGGGCTCACTTTGTACCCCAAGCTGCAAATCCCACATCTAAAAATCAGCACAGGCAGAGCCAAGCCTGCGGAGGCTCGACCGAAGCGGGTGGGAACTTAAGCAGGGCTGCAGTGGGCTGGATGAGCACACGTCGTAGCTTGATATTCCTTCTGAAAACCACCAGGAGAAATTCCTGCGCCTCGTCAGGGAGCACGGGAACAGGGCAAGCACAAACCAATGCCCCTCCAGTACCACCTGCTGACTCTCTGAACTCAAGAGAATTCCAGGACAGGGCTGACGAATCGTTCAAACAAAGTTTTGGACTTCTGGCATTCAAACCAGGACATCCTCACGTCTTCTGAGCCTACGGCTGATCCTGAGGTTGTGTCCTAAACGCTCCTCCTTTTCTACCACACTTTTAATAATCCGTGGCAATTAGCTCTTGTTAACTGTAAACAATTTTTTCTCTCACCCAACCTGCTTTTAATTCAGCTGCTCTCTCTCCTGTGGCACATGGACTCATGTGTGTGTGTATATTATAGGTTTTTATATTTTATAAGGTTTTTTTCCTACCTGTTTGTGACCCTGGCAGACTTAAACAACTCAGGTTCATTTTTCCAGATCAAACATTTCAGGAAGGAAAGGCATTATTCTGCATGTCCAAGTCATTGCTTTCGTCTCCTCTGAAAGCTCTGCTACACTCTTTTGCCTCACAGCAAAAGCTGGTCACTGAATTGCTTTTACTCGTGGCTGTTTTATTTTTTCACTCTTCCCATGAAAACATAACTAGGAAGACAGACATGGGGGTGAGGAGGCAGATTAAATGAGAAACTTGAATGAAATTAGGACTGAGCTTCTGCGTAAAGAAGGAAAAGGGAAGCAAAGGGGGTGGCTGAGGTAAGAGAAACCAGCTGGGAAGAAGAATTTACGAATGCTTTAAAAATAGCATATGACTCCATTACTAAAGCCATTACTCATCAACACAAACGACCTGGAGCTCATGAAGGACCTGAAGGCTGAGAAGTGCCATCAGGACGTCACACAAGCTCACATCCCTCTCGTGTGCGTGCCTTCCTTAAAGTGAAGGAAGATCTTTTTGGGTGAGGTGGTGAAAGGCAGACCCTGAAGGGCTGCTCTTAGTCCTTTTCCGTATAGTAACATCCTCTGCAGTCTTGGATGAGTGACTTAAACCCAGGCTTTGTAGAGCCGGTCACTCTGAGTCCTCCCTGGTGTCCTACATACAACTAGGGAGCAAAGTGCACACAGGACGCTGAACTAAGATGCTCCGTAACACTGAGTACTTGAGGGAGAGTTAAAAAACCAGCCCAAACGTTTTAAATCAGGCAGCCAAAACGAGCTACTACACAGCATCTGTCTTGGGACAGCAACCCGCTCGCTGCCACCTCTCCTCCACCCCAGCACTCCTTGAAACGCCGCTCTGCAAACCAGCCAGAACAGCGCGGTTGCCTTTGCGGTGGAAAGGGGATTTTCACCTGCTGCTCCATGTGAAATAATCCCGTCAGCTCCGGCCAGATGCAGAGGCTGCACCTCGGGAAACGTCCCTCCTCTCGGAAAGAACCACCATGGGAAAGCTCAGGGAGAGGCCAGCAACTCCGTCCTCAGACCCGCGCGCGCGGAAATCGGACACCCGGTCACATCCTGAGCAAGGAAAAAAAACAACAGAGTGAGCCACGTGACGGAGGGTGAAAACAGCGCAAAATGCTCCTCACGGCGAGTTTGCACAGGACTCATCGTCACCCAGGCAGGAGAATCACCTCGAGGTGGATTTGTGGGGCCAGCAGACATGATCAAGAGGACACAAATCCCCTCCGCCAGGAACTGCTGAGAGCTGAACACGAAATCAACGTCACACCCGACCCTCAGCCTCACTGCTGGTCTTTCACGCTCTGTCCTGCTCGTGCATGGCTCCTAAAGGAGAAATTCCATGCCGGCTCTGATGGGGATGGAAGCAGTAAGGAAATAGCTGTATGTGTTTCTGGCACCCAGCTCAGCTTCGTGGCTAAAAAGCATCTTGATTCTCTCCCGGATTTCACTGTTCTGCTCTCACACAGTCACCAAACCCACCCACTTTCAGTTAGGGCAGAGAAAAAAGCAAACACGGAGAAAAGCGAGTAGGATGGCTGGTTTTATTCGTTACAGAATGAGGATCTAGGTACAAAAGAAGCAGCAGAACCGGCTAACGCAGCAGCCCGAGCCCTCAACCTGCCAAAAACTTCACCAACACTCAGAGACCATTTTTAATCAGGAACGAGAAAG